GGGGTAGGGTTAGGTCGGGCATGTCCTCCTGCAGACGTAAACTGAAAAATAGTCAAAACAGTTGGAACATCGCCAGCAAGAAGGAGAACTTTTCAGAAAAATAATCGGCAAATCGTCCCCAGCCTGTGTCTGGACTCTTCTTGAATTTTCCTCCTGTAGAGGGACGTGCCCGAGTTAAGGGTATGGGGAGGGGGGAGAGCTTCTCAGAAGGAGGCTGCTTCTTAGAATGCGCGGGCCTGACATCTACAGAGGAGGCCCGCGCCTTCTAAGGAGCAAGGGTGCTTCTGAGAACCCTTCCCCCCTCCCCCTTACCGCGACAGGTTGTTTCTGTGTCCAACTGGGGGTTTCTGTGTCCCCGTTGGGTGTTTCTGTGTCCCGCGCCGCCCGGGGGTCCCCAGGATGAGTGTTTCTATGTCCGCTATGATGCCGTTCTAATGCGTTTCGTATTGTGCGACGAGACCCATCATCTCGTGGAAATCAAACCGTTGTCCAATAGGGGAAACTTTTGCGTCCAGGATTTTGTGGACGCGGGACACTTTGGAGTTTCTGTGTCCGCCACCTTGTGCTCTTGTGGCATCGTGTGTATGTCATGCTTGTGGCTACTACTACTACTACTACTACTACTACTACTACTACTACTACTACTACTACTACTACTACTACTACTACTACTACTACTACTACTACTACTACTACTACTACTACTACTACTACTACTACTACTACTACTACTACTAACTACTACTACTACTACTACTACTACTACTACTACTACTACTACTACTACTACTACTACTACTACTACTACTACTACTACTACTACTACTACTACTACTACTACTACTACTACTACTACTACTACTACTACTACTACTACTACTACTACTACTACTACTACTACTACTACTACTACTACTACTACTGAAGTCCAAGAGGCTCTCTCGGGAAGTCCAAGAGGCTCTCTCGGGAAGTCCAAGAGGCGCGCTCGGGAAGTCCAAGAGGAGCGCTCGGGAAGTCCAAGAGGCGCGCTGGGACACAGCAACTCCCAACCCAGACCCACTCCAAGACACACATACACTGGGACACAGAAACACCCTATCTGGACACAGAAACACTCATCGAGGACACCGAAACCCCCATCTGGACACAGAAACACCTTTTGCCCCCCCTTACCCCCCGCTGCGTGTGGCCGAGACATGTCGCTGTTGCTGCAATCCTGGCGTTTTGCCTCGAGGTCGGCCTCCTGGGCCTACAATGAGCGTTTTTTTGAATTAAAAAAATCTGGCAAGTTCACTTGCATGGCGTTCGCCCCCCCTTCGCCTCCCCCTCGCCCCTGTAAGAACGAGCACTAGCGTGCAAGTGCCTTTCGACTTGCGTGATTTCCGCACATGCACATCGTTCGCGGCTTGCTTCAGGTTCGGCCCCCCCCGTGCATGCAAGCAAACTTGCCGGAGTCAAACAAAATAGGCTCTATCGGGGTCCACGGCCACCGAAAATCAGCCCAGGACGGAAAAGAATGGATGGGGAAGATGTCGTGGCCTCTGGGAACGCGCACTGGACAATCATATCGTCGGATGTCTGCGAAATGACCCTGGGCAAGCATGGTCTCTGGTGCGGGGCGACTGCCGCCATGCAACCGTGGAGCTCCCCAGGGGTGCCGCGAGACGCGTGAGGTGTGTTGCAACATGGGCGAGGGCAACGCCATGCGCACCCTGCCTACTGGGGCCTTCCGTAAAGCCCGCGCAAGCTGCTACAACTGATGATGACGCTGCTGTTCCGAATGATGATAATCATGACCAATATGTTTTCGATGATGATGATGATGATGATGATGATGATGATGATGATGATGATGGCCACGACGAAGATGATGATGGTGCTGCTCACGATGCTGCTGATGATGATGATGCTGATGGTGGTGCTGACACTGATGTTGATGATGATGATGATGATGATGATGATGATGATGATGATGATGGTGATGGAAATGATGTTGATGATAAGGATGATAAAGGTAATGAAGAGAACGATGACGATGAGGGCGACGCTGATGAGTATGATAATGATGGTAGTGTAGATGATGATGATGCTGATGATGCTGATGATGATGAATGCGTTGTTGATAATGACGTGAATGATGATGATGAGGATGATGACGATGATGATGGGGGCGGTGATGATAATGGTGGTGATGGTGATGGCGGTGATGATTATGATGAGGATGACGATGATGACGATGATGACGCTGATGGTGATGATGATGGTGGTGATGGCGATGATGATCGTAAAGATGATGATAACGATCATGGTGACTGTGAGATTGATGGTGGCACAGATGATACTGATATGTTTGATGATGATGATGGCGACGATGACAAGGATACTGAAGATGGTAATACCGATGACGACGAGAGGATGATGCTAATGACGATGATGGTGATGATGGTGGTGATGCTGAAGATGCTGATGATGGTGATGATGGTAGTGTTGATGCTGATGATGTTGATGGTGGTGATGGTGATGATGATGGTGGTGTTGATGATGCTGATG